TTGCATTGTGTTAGAGTATGCTCCTTTAGTTCAGTGAAGTTCATTATCACCCACCTTTTGAAGCCTACTTCTTCCAATTCAGCCATCTCAGCTTCAGCCCAGTTCTGTGCCCTTGCTGAAGAAGTATTGCAGTTATTTGGAAGAGAAGAGGCACCCTGGCATTTTGAGTTTTCTGCAATTTTATGTTGATTCTTTCTCATCTTTGTGGGCTTATCTGCCTTCAATCTTTGAGGTTGCTGACCTGTGAATGGAGTTTTTGTGGGGTCTTTTTATTGATGATGTTACTGTTGTTGCTTTCTGTTTGTTTTTCTTTTAACAATCAGGCCCCCCTTCTGTAGTGCTGTTGTGGTTTGCTGGGGGTCCACTCCAGACCCCAAGCCTGGGTCCCTCCTGCACCTGGATGTATCACCAGTGAAGGTTACAAAACAGCACAGATGGGAGCCTGCTCCTTCCTCTGAGAGCTCTGTTCCAGAGGGACACTGACCTGATGCCTATCTGGTGACCTGGAGACCCCTGTTGGGAGGTCGCACCCACTCAGGAGGAACGGTATCAGGAACCTGCTTAAAGAAGCAGTCTGCCTGCTCCTTGACAGAGCAGGCTCTGTCCTTTGGGGAATCACCCCCATCCAGACTGCCCAGACTCTCCAGAGCCAGCAGGCAGGAAAGCCTAAGTCAACTGAACCAGAGAGACCATGGCTCCCCCTCCTGCAAGGGGCTCCATCCCAAGAAGATCATAATTCTGTCCATAAAACCTTGGCTTAGGGTGAATTTCTTAACCTTGAGTTTAATTTGATTGTGCTGTGGTCTGAGAGACTGTTATGATTTCAGTTATTTTGCATCTGTAGTTGCTGAAATTCCCACAGGTGGTCTATAAGGTTCTTGTACTTGAATATTGATATCTTTCTCTATGTTTGGGAAGTTCTCTGTTATTATCCCTTTGAATAAAGTTTCTACCCCTATCTCTCTCTCTACCTCATCTTTAAGGCCTGTAACTCTTAGATTTGGCCTTTTGAGGCTATTTTTTAGATCCTGTAGGTGTGTGCCATTGTTTGTTTGTTTGTTTGTTTGTTTGTTTTGAGACGGAGTCTCACTTTGATGCCCAGGCTGGAGTGCAGTGGTGCAATCTTGACCCACTGCAACCTCTGCCTCCTGGATTCAAGCAATTCTCCTGCCTCAGCCTCCCAAGTAGCTGGGATTACAGCCACACACCACCATGCCCAGCTTTGTGTGTGTGTGTGTGTGTGTGTGTGTTTGTACTTTTAGTAGAGACGGGGTTTCGCCATGTTACCCAGGCTTGTCTCAAACTCCTAACCTCAAGTTATCTGCCTACCTTGGCCTCCCAAAGTGCTGGGATTATGGGTGTGAGCCACCATGCCTGACCCAGTTTTTTGTGGGGTTTTTTTTTTGTTGTTTTTTCTTTTTTATTTTGTCTTCTCTGGCTATGTATTTTTAAATATCCTGTCTTCAAGCTTACTAATTCTTTCTTCTGCTTGATCAATTATGTTGTTAAGAGACTCTGATGCAATTTTTTAATATGTAAATTGCATTTTTCAACTCCAGAATTTCTGCTGGATTTTTTTTTTAATTATTTCAATCTCTTTGTTGAATTTATCTAATAGGATTCTGAATTTGTTATCTGTATTATCACAGACTCAAAACTTCATTGTTTCCTCAAAACAGTAATTTTGAATTCTCTGTATGAAAGACCACATATCTCTATTTCTCTGTGATTGGTTTTTCATGCCTTATTTAGTTCACTTGGTGAGGTCATGTTTTCCTGGATGGTCTTGATGCTCGTGAATGTTCATTGGTGTCTGAGAACTGAAGAGTTAAGTATTTATTATAGTCTTTGCAGTCTGGGCTTGTTTGTACCTGTCCTTCTAGAGAAGGCTTTCCAAGTATTTGAAGGGACTTGCGTGTTGTGATCTAAGTTTTTGGTCACTTCACCTGTATCTCCATTAGGGGGCGCCCCAAGTCCAGTAACACTATGGCTCTTGCAGACTCGAAAATACTGCATTGGTGGTCTTGGGTAAGATCCAGAAGAATCTGGATTACTAGGCAGAGACTCTTGTTATCTTCCCTTTCTTCCAAACAGATACAGTCTCTCTCTCTGTGCTGAGCTACCTGAAGCTGAGGGGAGAGGGGGTGACACAAGCACCCCTGTGGTCACCACCACTGGGACAATGCTGGTTCAGACCTGAAGCCAATATGATACTAGGTCTCAAATAAGGCTGCCAGTAAACCCTTATCTGGCTACTGCTAGTCCATGTTCACTCAAGGACCAAAGGCTCTATAATCAGCAGGTGGCAAAGCCAGGCAGGATAGTATCCTTCTTTTCAGGGCAGTGAGCTCCTCCTGGCCCCTTGCAGGTCTAAAGATGCCATCCAGGAGCCTGGTCCTGGAGACCAAAACCTTAGGAATCTACCTGGTGCTCTATTCTACTATAGTTGAGCTGGCACCCAAGCCACAAGACGAAGTCTTTCCCGTCCTTTCTACAAGGAAAGAAGTCCCTGCCCATGGCCACCACTGCTCCAGGCCCATGGCAAGTACTGCCTGACTATTGCCGATGTTCACTCAAGGCCCAAAGGCTCTTCAGTCAGCTTGTGGCAAATGCTGCCGGGGCTGGGACTCTTCTTTCAAGGCAGTGGGCTCCCTTCTATCCCAGAGCAGGTCCACAAACATCCAAGAGCTAAGGCCTACAATCAGGGACCCCAAGAGCCCACTTGGTACTCTACCCCACTGTTGCAGAGCTGGTACCTAAGCTGCAAGTCCTTTTTGCTGTTTCCTCTGCTTTTCTCAAGCAGAAACAGCCTCCCCATAGCCACCACAGCTGGAAATGTGCTGGGTCACACGTAAAGCCAGCACAACTCAGTCTCACCTAAGGCCCACAGCAAGTACTACCTGGCTACTGCTGCTGATTTTATTTTTTATCATATTTGATTTTATTTATTTTTTGAGACAGAGTTTCATTCTGTTGCCCAGGCTGGAGTGCAGTGGTGTGATCTCAGCTCACTGCAACCTCCACCTCCCAGGCTCAAGTGATTCTCCTACCTCAGCCTCCCGAATAGCTGGGATTACAGGTGTGTGCCACCACGCCTGGCTAATTTTTGCATTTTTTGTAGAGATGGGGTTTCACCATGTTGGCCAGGCTGGTCTTGAACTTCTGGTCTCAAGTGATCCACCCCCCTTGGCCTCCCAAAGTGCTGGGATTGCAGGCATGAGCCACTGCACCCAGCCGTGCTGCTGATTATTCAGGGCCCAAGGGATATTTAGTCAGCAGGTGATAAATGTTGCCAGGACTGGGTCCTTCCCTTCAAGGCAGCAGGTTCCCTTCTGGCCCTGGGTGTGTCTAGAAATGTTGTCTGGGAGCTAAGGCCTGGAAAAGGGGCCTTAGGACTCTGCCCAGTGCCCTGTCATACTATGGCTGAGCTGATATCAAAGTTGCAAGACAAAGTCTTCTTTAGTCTCTCCTCTCCTCTACTCAGGTAGAGTGAAGATTTCTCTGGGAGTTGTGAGCTGTGCTGTGTAGGGCTAGCGGAGAGGTGTTGCAAGCACTCACTTAGCCACCCCAGCTAGTTTCTCATTAGGTCACATGCCCCCCAAGTCTACTGGCTCTGAGCTCAGCACAGCATCAGGACTTGTCCAGGAATTGCAGTCCTTGTGGCTTTAAACTGTCTTTTGAGTTTATTTAGTACCCGAGAACACTTTAGCCTGCAGCAGTGAGGTGTGCTGGAACTCAAGTTCTGACCACTGGAGTGGGTGATTCCCCTGTGCCTAGGGCTGATCTAAATGTTCCCTCTGTGGATATCAGCTGACTTCTGCCCAGTGTTGCTTTCCACTGTGACAGGGTAGCACTGAGTTTCAATGCAGTCTCTCCATCACTGTGTTCTGTCTCCCACAAGTGCACAGTTTTTCTCTCTATGCCATGTGGGTGCTGCAGAAGCGGTGGGGGAGGGGCTGGCATCATCAATTCAAAACCTTCTTTCCTACCCTTTTCAGTGCCTCTTTCAATGATATGAAGTTAAAACCAGGTACTGTGATTGCTCACCTGATTTTTGGTTCTTTTAAAGGTGCTTTTCCACATGGATAGTTGTTAAATTTGGTGTTCCTACAAGGAGGACAGTTAGTGGAGGCTTCTATTCAGCCACCTTGCTCTGCCTCCCTCCTGCTACCATTTTCTAGCTATAGGCAGGAGGTGGGGAGGGTCCCCAGAGAGTCTGGGGCATGCATTTTTAGAGGGTAACTTAAAAGAAGGGAAAAGAGAATGGGTGCTGGGAAACAATCAGCAGTCTCTGGCACAGACATAACGCATAAAAGGCTATTCTTACAAATCTGTGTATATATACATATATACACGTAGAAACATATACATACTACATTCACATTATTTTTTTCGTTTCACTATGGACCTTAAAAATTTTCAACAGACCTACCCTGGTCCACAGCCAGTTTTAGAGTCCCAGTGGCCACTTTCCAAATAAGCTATGGATTCATCTATAAATTTTCTTGCTACTCCGGCCATAGTAAGTTTCCAGATGCAAGTGGAAATAGCAGAGGTTCAAGCCTTAGGCTTCCACTAACTCTATTACACCTTGCCTTCTCTCATTCTCTCAGCGCTCTCCTAATAACTGGACTACCAAGGATCAAAAGTAATACAACAATATGGAGAAACACAAGGATACCCGGGTCTATGCAGACCCTCGCCCATTACCTCCCTTCCTAGGAATTGTATGCTTCCTGAGTGACACTTATATATGTTCTTGTTTAATTGAAAAAAGTATAAGAAAAAATGGTTTTAATACTCTGCAATTTAATGTCATGGCAGGCAACCCAAATAAGACTAGAAGAAGGGAGGGAGTTGTCAATAAAGTACAATTTAAAAACAGTTGAACCTCTTTTCCTCTAAAGACTACCACGGTGCTACATTATGCTTAATGCCTCTTTAAATGGCCTAGTTAAGTGCTCATCATTAGTCATCTGTTACTATGCATTCACTAACAGAACTGGGACCCTGGAACTTGGGGATAAATTGCTCGCAATAGATAATATCCGGCTGGACAACTGTTCCATGGAAGATGCAGTTCAGATCCTCCAGCAATGTGAAGACCTGGTGAAGCTCAAAATCCGCAAAGATGAAGATAATTCAGGTATTGAGAGCATCCTTAGTTAAAACTGATTTTTCAAAATGCCCATCTGTCACCAAAGATATTAGATCTTGATGTTTTACATACAACAGCTGGCTAGTGATGTGGCATCAGTGTTTCACAGCTAGAAAAGCCTTTAAATTTTGTGTTGAGAGTGTAGTATGAATTTTAAATAATGATGCTTGTAAATGATATCATTAAGATAATTTCATTATAGAAAACATTATAATTGCATGAAATAATTTTTAAAGATGATATCTAAATCATCGTCTAATACCACACTAATACAGTGAAACTGGTGGTTTTCTAGTTTTTGTTGATAGTCCTATGGCATAACTATAAACAAGTGGATGTTGCATTTTTTTACCTAATTTTACATTATAAACATTTGATCATTTTATAAACTCTGAATATCTATCATTTTTATTGACTGCCTGTGATTTATGTTTCTTCTCTTCTTAAATCACTATATTGCTTCCAATTGTTTCATTATTGTAAATAGTACTCTCATAGACATCTTTATACATAGGTATCTTTATTCAGCTTTTCAACTTTTTTTTTCTTTTGAATTAGTTCCTGAGAAAATATTCCTAGAAGCAGGATGGCTGAGTAAGAATACAAAGGAAATGTCTATGATTCCTGAGGAGCCAGTCATGCCTCACGTTGCTTTTCAAAAGGGCTATATACATTTTTTAGGCCCTCCAATGAAACTTAGGAGGGCATAAAATCATCTGAAGAGTTTATTAAAACACAGATCCTGGGCACCACCCCAGGTGGGACCTGAGATTCTGGATTCCTAATAAACATCCAGATGCTGCCACAGCTGTGGTGCAAGGAGCACACTTTGGGTTGCCCTGAAATAAGAGACATCCTATCTGATTATGATAAGAATATAGAGCCAATTGAAAAGTGTCCATTCATCAAAAGAGTCAGATAATGTGGGGAATTACAGAATGTGATATGGATCCATAAAGTAAACATTTCATTTACAATTTTGCCAATCTTGTGGGTAAAGTCAAGGCCTTTCCTATGAACATGGTTCTGCTGATTATAGTCACAAGTCTAAATGTTTGCCTAAACCATATCCACAATATGGGTAAAGTCAAGGCCTTTCCTATGAACATGGTTCTGCTGATTATAGTTACAAGTCTTTTTGTTTGTTTGCCTAAACCATATCCACAATATATATTTTATGACTTCCAGTTTTATTTTGGTTTGTTTGGTTTTTAATGCAGTGAGACTTTAAAGAATTTATAGTAATCTGAATGCCTCCTCCACCTAGATTTTGGTCTTCCCCAGTGTTTTAGAGTTTTTCTGCTAGGTAATTAACAGTAGATTTTATGTTTGTTTGTTTGTCTGTTTTGTGTTTGTTTTGTGTGGCACACCCAGGCTGGAGTGTGCCATAGAGTGCAGTGGCGCCAACTCCGCTCACTGCAACCTCCACCTCCCAGGTTCAAGCAATTCTTGTGCCTCAGCCTCCTGAGTAGCTGGAATTACTGGCATGCATCACCTTTCCTGGCTAATTGTTATATTTTTAGTAGAGATGGAGTTTTGCCATGTTGACCAGGCTGGTCTCAAACTCCTGACCTCAATTGATCTGCCCACCTCGGCCTCCCAAAGTGCTGGGATTTCACGTGTGAGCCACTGCGCCTGGCCATAGATTTTTGCCTAACGAACCCTTATTGAATCTTTCCCAACCGTTGGATTTTATTTTCATAGAACAAGTACATTCATATTTCATAGGTTATATAAGATTAATTAAATTACATAGTTAAAATAAGTACAGCTGGCATAAACAGGTTTAGGAATAAACATAATTGCCTCTAAATTTTGAAGTTTACAACTCAAGCAGGAGCAGGAGCAGAAGTGCAGAGGGGCTAGATAAAGAAACGTATTGCTCTGGAGCATGCCATGGCATTGATCTGTACATTTTATGATAGAGGATGAACAGCCACAATTAATTCAGTAAATTGGTTAAGTGGAGATTGGTTGAGAGAGCATCTACTGTATATAATTTCATTGCAACCAGTAATGAAGTTGTGGCAATGTTCTGGGATTTCCTTAATCAGGTCATCTAGATCTAGAGTTCATGGTTATGTCAGGCTATGTGTTTATGATTCCTATTCAAAGTAAAAAAAAAAAAAAATCTATAGTTACATCCATCAGTACAATTGATGATGATGATATCCAAATATATTTTATAACCAATGTTTAAAAATATGCACAGGTTTGCACTCATTATTTCCTAAGCAACTGATTTTCTGTGCCAACATTTGCATTTCTCTCCTTACAAGCCTGCTTCAGTTGCACTTTCTTTTAGGGATTTATTTCAAAAGAGGGAGTAAGCCTTTCGCATCAGCCTGGGTTCTGTCCTAGTCAAGAGGCAAAGCCCTGTGGAGAAACCTGTTTTGCATGATTTGCCCTGCTCAGCAGATGTCAGCTACCTTCCTTGCAAAGTGAAAAAGCCAAGCCAGAGATGAATGTGTGTAGTGGGCACAGTTGGCAATGCATCCAATTTCAAAGCCAGGCTGTGTCTGCCGGTTGGCAGGAGTTTCTCAAACAACTGAGCACTTGGAGAGCTAGACCTTACTTTCAGTTACTGATTTCCTTTGCCTCATTTTCCCCCTTTATACACTTCCCCTACAATCCCTATGTAAACTATTATGATAGTTATTGTGCTTATTAAATATTTTTTAATTTTAAGAGGTTCTGGTTTTAAAATCCTAAACCTTCCATAGAAAAACATGCAACCACCCAAAATAAGACTATAGATATTGGCATGAGAGACATACTTACCCAAACCAGATTTTCTCATACTGATATACAGAAATATATACTCATTCAGACATGGTTTTACAAAAGATCACTATTTGCAAATTATTCAGCTATTGATTTTGAAGAATTTATGTGATCCTAGTATTCTCTTCCCTTACAACATTATAATTTGAGTACCTGAATTCATTTTTATTCAGAGCAAAGTAAGGGAGGAAAAAAAACATTATTCAAAGTGTAAAGCCTGACCACAGATTATTTAAAGGCAAACTGAATCTTTACAAAGAGCAAATGTTTTAAAATCAGACATGATATGATGAAGAATGGAAACTCAGAAGAAGAGATGGTAGGAGGGGGATGAGGGACCAAAAAAAATACTTATTGAGTACAGTGTGCAGCACTTGGGTGATGGGTGCACCACAATCTCAGGCTTCACCACTGTACAATTCATCCAGGTAATGAAAAACCACTTGTACCCTTAAAGCTATTGAAATAAATTCTTTTAAAAATATCAGACCTCAGTTTAAAGTTCAGCTCTACCACATTTGAGCTGTGAGAGTCTGGGCAACTTGCTAAACTTGTCTGAGATTTGGTCCCATTTCAGTACCATCTACATAATGATACCCATCTCAGGGAGCTATTGTAACTTACTGAAAGAAATACTGGCACAGTCCATACTCCACTCAGTGGGGACTATTTGTATTCTAATTACCTCCTGAAATCCCTTTCTCTGCATTCGTTCTGATCCTTTATCAAGATATGACTGAGTGGAAAATAAGCCATTGACCCTTCAGACAGTCACTGATTTTGAAAGTTTGATATTATGCTTAATCTGAAATTATGCTGGTGATCAGAATGATCCCATTAAATAGTTGCCATGCTTTGTCTCAATATTTTTGAATGGTAATATTCAGTGTATATTCTCCACCCCCAGAAATGTTGCTCGTACTAATGTAGGCCCTCTGCACTTCAGGAGTTTTCCAGCCCTTTAACGGCTGGCTGCTCTCCTTCCTTCAGTGATGATTCTCTCTCCGGTCACAGGAAGTTCATAACTATACTTGATGTAACTTGGTTTCCTAAGCTAGCTTGTACTGCAAATGGGATTTAACAGATACTGCTTCAAAATGTAAGCATTTCTTCCAGCTTCCCAAGTCTCACTACCCTGCTGTGTACCTTACCCAAGGAGATGGTAGAACTATTCCCAAATGCTGCTGAAGCCCTCGATTTTCAGTCCTGCCATCAGCATTCATTTATTGTCTATGAAGTATCAGGCAATGACTACCGGTTCTTAGATAAAAAGGACACAATCCTGCCCTTAAATCAGTTACCACCAAATAGGAGAAACAAAAGAAAATCAATAATTAACAATATGGTGAATGTCATAAGGATATGCACAAAATATTCCACAATGGTAAGAGAATGTGAAGGCATCCATTTGAGCCTGAGGACCTGAAGGAAAAGATTCTAACAACCTGGGTCCCGAAGAGGTTTGTGAAGTGGTGCAGAAAGTTAGGGACAGCATGGCACACTCCAGTAGGCAGATATGGCTCAAGCAGAACATATGTGCAAGGACTTTGTAGTAGGTAAGCTAGAAAGGTATACTGGAGCCAAGTCATTATGGGCCTTGTAAATCATGTTAATAAATTTGAATTTTATCCCAGAAACCAGTGGGGAGCCATTAAAGGAATTAAAACGGGAATGAGGCCCACTGGACTTGGTTAGTGACCATTGGTTTTAATCACTTTACGAAAGCGCTGAATGAGCCATTCAAGAGAGTCTGAATTAACTCTGTTTCTAGCCCAAGCTGGGGGAAACAGTGGAATGAAAGACGAAGAACGCCAGACTGGCTTCATAACTGACAAGTGGGAAACTTAGGCAAATTAACTTCTCTGAGCATGAGTTTCCTCATCTGTAAATGTCCATTTAATGCTTACTTTAATTGGCTGTTTTAAGGATTAAAGGAGGAGATATATACATATATACACACACACACACATATATATTTAAAGTAAAGGAGGAGATATATATATATGTGTGTGTGTGTATATATATATATGTTTTTTGTTTTGTTTTGTTTTGTTTTTGAGATGGAGTTTTGCTCCTGTCACCCAGGCTGGAGTGCAATGGCACAATCTCGGCTCACTGCAACTTCCGCCTTCCAGGTTCAACCGATTATCCTGCCTCAGCCTCCCAAGTAGCTGGGATTACAGGTGCCCGCCACAACCATGCCC